AGACCGTTAATTCCAATCGAATCTGTTTTATATTGCTTTATACGAATATTTGCGAGGGATAAAAAAATCTTCCGATTAATACCGACTAACGCCCAAATCGAGTAAGATAGCATTTATACGAATAATACACAGAATAATACAAGCAATTACTAATGATATTCTAGTAAGTTATGAACGACTTACATAATTTTGTTTATACGTAAATTATTTTAAAATATTTTTTTCAAAACCAACAAAGGAGTTCATGCATTTTAGGCAATTTGGGAAGTACGCGGGAAATGTTGGGTTTACCTTTTTTCTTATTCAATTTTACTTGCTGAATCGGAAAATCATAGTTAACATTGTCCTGGTATTCGGAAAATACTTTTTTTTTTATATTTTAAATAGAAAACAAGCAACCACACGTTGCTTTGTCTACAGTGAATTTCTCTTTGTTTTTATAAAAATATGTTTTGATGTTACCTAAACCCTCATCCGAGCCCTCATCCTTTCTCATTAGGTTGGAGAATCTGCAAGTTACCCTTAAAAAAAATTAATTTTTATCATTTGTTTCCCTTTAGATCGTATAACTTTTATCTGAAACATTTCTCCGCATCATTTATACTTGTCAAGATATTTCGATGCAAAAGTTAAAATATGTACATAACTGAAGGTAACTTGTAGATTCTCAAGTCCTGATGAAAAAGGATGAAGGCTTAAATAACATCGAAACTTATTTTTATGAAAACAAAAAGAAATTCGCAGATATATGATTCAACATAGTGATAAAATCAACCATTGCTTTTTTCTGTTTAAAATGTAAAAAAAAAACATTTTCCCGGATACTAGGACAATTTTAACTACAATTTTCGGATTCAGCAAATAAAATTGAATAAGAAAAAAGGTGAACCCAACGTTCTCCGCGTGCTTTCCAAATCGCCTAAAATGCATGAACTCCTTTAAAGATTCGCAAATTGAATTAATCTAAAAAGTGAGCAACTATATTTTTTCTTATTCAACTATAATATCTTGATCATTTTTAATTGATTGATTTTCTAATAATATCTTTATATTATTAGAAAATCTTTAACATTCTCCGTTAGTTTTACATTATGATTATTCTACTATTTTGATATGCTACAAGCGACCAGTATTTTAATTATTATATTTCGTTGGATATAGATATATTTGTTATATTTGATAACACACCACAATGTCTGCGCTATTGTATAGCGCATTAGTTTTTGTTTTTAAAGAAAAATCAATTCAATTCCTACGGCTGCAGCTACATCGTATTGTGTTGGATAAATTAGTGAATTAATAATATCTTGTTTTATACGCACGTTTTAGAACACACGTTGTATACGCGTGTATCATGTGCACGCGCGCGTGCATGTTATGTGTGCCCACGTTTATACTCGCATATGCGTGGAACGAACTAGACGCGACTTTTCTCTCCGAGTATATACTTTCTTCGGTCACCTCGAGGAACACGTCATACGATTCCGCATGCACAATCATCTATAGCCTTTCCACATGCTATATTTCTCATAAAATTTCCGCGTTTCTGCGTCCGATAGGATTTTTTAATCATTCGTGTGAGAATCATCAATCTTACATCTTGATCGTTCATTATAGAACGCATGAATTGTTCGCATTTACTTATTATTTCGTTACTAGACTATATAACTCAATCGTGTGTAAATCGTGCTTTCTGAATGTATAGATATTTATTATTTATTAGCAATATTTATTAGCTATATTTATTAGCAAAGGCAATTACATACGAGAAGATTACGAAAGAACATGTGTGTTAAATCTATTTCCATTTAGAAATATATAATAATCTTAATAAATTATAAAATTAAATATAAAATTACTTTTAATTGTATTTATATACTTTTATGAAGGTACTTAAGGTCCTTATGTTTCATTATTTACTATTAACTTATATCGGGGTGCATAAAAATGCATTAAAAATTTTTAGTAAGATACATAATGCTATGTTTCTCGATCTCTAAACACAATTTGATATTAACATCGATCCATATTGTAGGTGTGTCTAACCTCAAGGCTTTAACGGTGTAATCTATATGAGTTGAGGGAGAAGATTCAGTCTGACTCAACAATCTACATATACATATATTGTTTACATCATTTAAATGTACCAAATCACTCGACATGTGTATTAAGATTTATTCGAAAATCTTCGATTGGGATTATTGTCGTCTTATACTCGTTTTATAATTTTAAAGAGAAAGATAATATACACTCTTACATGTATTAATAAATTTTTAATCTCTACAATAATTTTTTCTGCTAATTTTTTAGAAGATTTCTTATTTATGACAGATTTAGGAGCTTTTGCAATTATAATCTTTTCATTTATAATACGAGTCGAAAGTCACAAACGCACCTTAATCTTCTTTGGCATACCAGAATACCATTATAATCGCCTTTGGCGTTCTCAGGGAGTCTTCGCGTATAGAGGCGGCCAGGTTGGAGGCAAGTTCAACATCCCGCTAATGGTACAGGTTCTCCATCTCGGCAAGAAGAGCATTCGCAAAGTGGTTACCGCTAAGAGAGAAAAGATCCGATCTAACTGTCGATGGTGTGCATTGATAACGATAAGACTCAATTGATAGATTATAGTGTTATATTTCTCATGGGTTTAGATTTTTTCTTTTTTTTTACCGAATAATCAAAATCTCTTTAAAATTAAGTATCTGAATTGCGGAATGTTTCAAACAACTAAAATGAGAAAACACCAACACAAAGTGGATCTTGATGCTTAAAAATATTCCTTTCAAAATCTCTTTAAAATATTCGATTCTCTTTTAACAGAGCAATTGCATGATATTTTAGTCAATGATATCACGCAACCTAGATACTTACAATTATTGCTTTTTTCTTATTGCCTGCTGAATACGTAATTCTTATTTTATTAAAATTTTTCTGATACTAATAAAATTACTATCTTAAGTTAAAAGATCATAAATTAAAAGGACTATGCCCAGTTTGGGCCCCGAGTGAACAGTTATATATCAATCACTATAAGGGAGCATTCACGAAACACAACAAAAGGTTTTAGGTTGCCAAATTGAAGTCTGGCGAATGTAAGGACCTTATCTCTCTTCAAGTCCCTCTTCCTCATCAGAATTATCTAATGCTACAAAATTATTTATCGTTGGTTGTGATGTACACAACATGCACGCATATTCACAGGATATCCAGAAACTTACATTACTTCTTGAGATGATGATATGGAACCTAAGAAGAAACTATATAAATATAGGTCTAGAAATGAGTTGTTTCCAAGTTATAGCCATTTGTATGTTTAAAAAATCGTAAATAAATTGTAATAAATCATAATAATAAATTACAATTTTTTAAACGTAAAAGTGGCTATAACTTGAAAACAACTCATTTCCGGATCTATGTTTATACAGCTTTTTTTTTCTTTTTGAATCCCGAATTACCTCAAGAAGTAGTGCGGACGAGTATATATATATAGGGTGGGCTATCTTAATGTCCCCGAATATCTTTTTTTCTACGCCTTTTACCAGAAAATATTTGAGGTAGAAATTTTAGGATTTTTAGGAGCACATTAAGTAATAGTATTATTGTGACCTTGGGTAACATCACCAAGATCAGATTATAATTACATCGATTTTTTTACATGGAATACCCTATTTTTAATTCCAGAATCTAATAACTTGTGTCCAGAGCTTTCCAAAACACTATACTATAGTATTTTTTTTTTTAATAATTTTAAATTATGAGATTTTAAAATAGTACCATCAGCGTTAGTATTATCCCAGATATCCGAACATCAGTTAAAATTTTTGAATGTTCGGGATTATGATCTTGACAATGTATATTAAGGTCATGACCATTGGAGGTTGTTGCTCTTATTTTTATTTAAAAAAATTTTTATTTTTTGATAAAAAAGAGGAACAATCTCCAATGATGATGACCTTAACACATGTTGTCAAGCTCATCATCATGATCCTGAACAACATTCAAAAGGTTTTAGCTATTGTCCGGATACCTTGGATAATGTTAATGCCGGTGGTATTGTAACTTTCAAGTCTTATAACTCGAAAAGTGCTTAATGGAAAAATATTTTATTATAGTGTTTTGGAAAGCTCTTGAGACAAGCTACCAGAATATGCAATAAAAATGGGGGATTTCATTTAAAAAATTCAAGGCAACCTCGTTATAATCTTGGCGACGCTAATTAAGGTCAAACCGATAAGATCAGTAAATAGATTTTTTTTAATTTTACAACTTTTGTCTGAAACATTTTTAACTATGTGAACATGGAACCCGACTTTACAAAAATTAAAAAATAATAACATAGTTCGTTTGTACCCGTTTGTACCACCTTTCATTTCGTTTGTACCTCAAAAAATAAACAAATACAAAGTGGTTAAAAAATAACCAGAACCTCACATTCAGATATTTTAATTTCATTAACGCTATTCAATAGAGAAAAACACTATCCCTGAATCCTTTAAGGTACAAATGAAAACAACGGTGGTACAAACGATTCTCTTTCGAATGCCGTTGGCCGCTTTTCGATATCTCGTAAAATAGCTGAGTTCCCTGTATCTATAAGAGTTGCTCCAAAAATGAAAAACGCTGTATTTTTTAATCCCTTGAGGTACAAACGAAAATAATGAAGGTATAAACGGGCACAAACGATTCTCTATCCATTCTTTCTGTGAACACACGATTTTATTTTGCGAGAAAAAAATCAACATGCATGATATTTGAGGAATGTCGAAGGAATCCGTCGAATTGATTCGACTACGAGTGATTTCGTCGAGAATTGAGTCTTTTTTTTTTACATCGAAGATGGAAAGATTAACTGGGTCAGTTATTGTGTGATCTTTTCCATTTCCAACGATAATTATGGTACATACACACAATCGTAAATAATCATATGAATGTCGCAATCTCGCCTTCGTAACACAGTCGAGGTATTCGACGAAATTCAATATCCGACAGTACGAAAATGAATGGTATGGCCTTTGTTTATTTAAAACGAACGCATTCAACGCTATTTTTTGCGGCTGACATTTCGTGCAGATTGTATTTCAATTGCGCCAGTGTTAACATTAATTTATGTAAATTCTCAACAATCTCCATTTAAACTTCGTGTTCTGCGACGCTCGAATCTCCCTTCGTCATTTTCTTTTTTCTCCTTTTTACTTTGGATTGACTTCGTTTTGATGGTAGCACAGTGTATTTATCTAATTATTCAATACCAAAATTTATCAATAATTATTAGCCGTATAAACTGGAATATTTATTATTATTTTAATAATTATTAAATTTGTACTTGCTGCTGAAATATCCATGCGCAGTCGTATTGGAACTATCGAGAAAGAATATATTGTAAGTTTTCGTCAATTTACGACTAATAAAATAATATCGATTGAGTGGCGAGAAAGAGTTTGTCAATGAGTCAAAAAGGTTTACGATAAAAGAGAAGAAAAGAAAACGTTGGATGACGTCATGACAGTCATTCGCGCCACTTAGGCGAAGTCAAGGGATCAATTTACGACGTGAATGGTCAACTACTTGCCTCTCCCGAACATTCCATCCTCCAACCTCGAAACCTCTTTCCGTTTTCGTTCAGCTATCACTCGTTCCGAATCGATGACATGACAAATGACGCTCTCGCCGATAACAGAATAAATTGCGTAACATATTGAATAATGTTTTAAGTAATAAAAGCGGAAAATACATTTTCTTTTGCATTTAATTGCGATAACTCGTCTACAATCTCGTAATAGATCACAAGGTTGCGTTAATATTTTTATCATTATATGAAAAGTATACAACTCGTTGGTTGAAAGTATATTATTTAAAATTAAATTTATAAATGTATATTAATATATATATATATATATATATATATATGTGTGTGAGATAAAAAATATATATAGAAAGAAAATATATACAAATAAATATATATCTACTTTGAAATATATGTAAACATTTTTTATTAACTGGACTCTAAGTTGTATTCGATTACAACGATCGATGAAAAGTATACATGCACGATTAAACAGTGAAATCATTTATACAATTACTAAAATTAGCATAGAAGGAATTTAGGTATTTATATTGGAAAATGCAGATTTGCGTTTATTTGCTTGATATTTATTATTTATTTCTGCTGCAAGAATAAAAATGGAAATGTATGCGATTTCGCGAAAAGAAAAAACGAATTCTGTCACGATCTCAATAAAAGCATTGACGCGCCGCCTGCACTGTATAAAAGATTCCTTAGGCGAAGACGTTAGCTTAGTTCTCTTCTTGTTTTGTATCTATTACGCGGTCATTGATCTTCCTCTCTTTTGCTCACATGTATATCGACAAAGATCGACTCGTCTTCCCACGTACATAATCTTGTATTTTTTTATTATAGGATCGCTTAATGAAAATTGTGTATGTAAGAGCGAAATGAAGATTTCGCATTTGTGAGTTGAAAATGTTTCGCATTTCTTGCGTGTCAATGAGTCATGAAATTATGGGGAAGGAGTGCGAAATGAATTATACTCGTAGCTTAATAAATTATCATTAGAATTTATTGGGTCATCCGAAAAGTTATGCGGTTTTCTCACATCTGCGCGGATACCAGTTTGAATTTTGCGCTAATACTGAATGAGGAAGCCCAAACTTCAGGTTGAAAGAGCAATCTTTTGTTTAAACAGTGCGTCCGTCCATAATGGCATACGTTCAGTATATTCGATTCTGTTGTGCCCTAAAAATGGAGAATTGGAAATAGCATTTTTGCAATATTATGCTTTTTTACTTCAGAAACGGCAAGAACACGTACGAGACAGCACGTAAAATTTGTAAAGTTTACGGACAAAGTACTGTTTTTGATGATACAGTTCGGCGGTGGTTTGTGAAATTTCAACAAGGTGATTTCACTCTCAAAGATGAGGCGCGATTTAGGCGTCCCTGCACTGTGGTGATCTACTGGAGCAGGTTATCGCCGAATATCTTCATTACACAGTACAAGAACTGGCAGAGAAATTGAAAATTGCAAGAAGTACATGACCACTTAAACTTGTTCTTGAGAACCGCAGAACTTTTCGCAAAATCCAATATTTTATACCTAAATTTATGTGAATACTTTTAAAACAAATATGTAAAAGTTGAAAATATTTTGAATTTCTTGTCTGTCGATTATAATTGCTACGAAATACTGCAAATTCCACTTATATAAATTACAAATAAAATGTAATGTACTATTATTAGAATTATCTTATATATTTTTATTATTAGAATTCTTATATATTTTTATTGTTAAAAAAATACTAATTTTGTATATCATATGAGAAAAGTAGTTTCCTTTATTTAAAAAATGTAAAATTTATGTTGCGCGACGATATTTTATGTCGCAACGTTAATGTCAACCGACAAGTTTCGCTTGATAAATGAAGACCCATGACTTATCACGCGAATATTATTTTATTCTCGCAACAAATCGATTGTAGAGTGAGTGTATAAATGGCGACGAGAATGAGATATTTCTAACATCTCGTGTTTTGCCGCTTCGGTAATAGTTCTGTCATCAATCATGCACCCTCAGCATGTGTGCGAAATTGACGGTTACATATTAATCGCGCGAATATTAAAAGGTTGTAAAGTTCAACGTGAGCAATGTTGCTATTTAAACTTTAAATAACCAATCAGCATTATAAAAATAAATACAGTATATACAATTTGGCAAATCTTTGGCACGCGTCGCTTGTCGCAATTATCATCAAAGATATTTGATAGTTGTTAGAAGTACAAAATTAGATGTTCGTTCTTTGGCGTTCGCGTGAATGTTATTCATATAAGACGTTTATACGTAAGATTTTATCTTACGTATAAATGTTAAATATTACTCTTATACGTAATAATCATTGCCGTGGCATTTTTATCATTGAATCAGTTTCCCTACTTTTTTGCATTTTTTATTTGCACACGATCTGCGTGAATACAATTTTATATACAGGGTGAGCTGATGAAAATTTCATTCTTCCTTTTTTGTAACAGATTTGAAATACGTTAATATTATTTTTTAAGGGAATATATATGATTGTGCTAAATTCAATTCCTTGATTCTCGTAGTTATTCCTTCAAAAATCTTAAATGTCAATAAGAATTGAATAATACTTTGCTTTAAATTTCTTTACGACTGTAAAGAAATTTAAACTTCTACGCTGCTTCTATGGCTTTATTTCTTGCAAGATGTTAAATGATAATTTTTTTTGTCACTGATCCAATTTCTATAAATTTTTTTAACAAAAGAGGGGTTGCGATTTGGGCCATTTTTGGTCCTCCCTTGAATTTAAATGAAATTAGGCGGAAAATGTACCTCCATATGTGCCTCATAATTCCCTAAAAGGATATGATCCTAAACCTCATTTATGAATTATTACATACTGATTTTGAGCAATTTACAGAGGATTTTGCACTTTTCGATAATTGAGATTTTTTTGACAACGAATTCCTGGAATTGCAACTTCAAACTTTTTCAAAAACTTGCCTAGGATATCACTTAGAATATATCAAGAGATGAAAGCGATGCAAGCGTGCGCACATTTTCATCCAGCACGTTGAATCCACGAATGCGCTATTTTCACACGCATCTGTAGTGTTTCAAGACCATTTAAAGATCCTGCAGATTCGAACTAACGATCGGTAATATTCAAGACATTATAAAATTAATGCGATATATACCCAATCGTTCTCGCACCGTTTCGACACTA